TTTTTTTGGATAACTTGTATTGACAATTTTACCTATCAATTAAGATGTCATTTGAGTTAAAATTATAGTTTGAACGTTGACTGACGATTTTATGGACGGAATGCATGAAATGGACTAACACTGTAATTATATATAAATGTTTGGGACTTTGACCGCAAAAATTAAAGGTTTTGGTATAATCTTCATCAAAATAAAAGGTTTGGGACCAGCGCTGCAATTTTTTAGAGTCATAATTACCGTTGAAACGTTGACTGACGGTTTTATGGACCGAATTAAAAGTTTGGGACCGATGCTACAATTACATATAAAGGTTTGTGCGTAATCTGTAATAAAATGAAAGATTTGAAATTACGGCCGCAATTTTCCTCTTTTAAAAGGATATTTTGAAAATGCTATTGTTCGGGTATTTTCAATAATTTCTCCACATGAGACGGAAGGATACCCGTCGCAGTCCAGCCTTCCAAATATCTCGATAGGGTCAACTCCATTGCTACTAATGTTTGAAGACCAGGCTGCTATTTTGACAGATGTAACAAGTGGAGGAATTACAAATCTGGGCAAAGAGGAAATTTGCTGGTAAGCTTAACAATGGAGGCCAAGGGAGAAATTAATCAGAGAGAAACAAGGATGAAAAGAAAAGAGGTGAAATAAAAATCACTAATTCATTGCTTCTTATTACGAGAATTTTTTACTTTTATTTTTATATTTTGAAATTGAATATAGTAATCAACAATAATTTCTCTCCACCATAGTTTTTCATTCTCTATTTTGAAGGTAGATGCTGGAAAAGAAGAAATCAGTTCATGAAATAATGAAAACGGCTGCTTCGGAAAAAGACTGTCTCTCTCACTTCCCGCATTTTCGCCATTATCAACGGAATGGTTCATATGATTTTATTGTTTTTACAAATATGAGTGTTTAGTTGTTCAATTTAAAGGTTAATTAATTTTGCATGTTATGATGTAAATGATCCATTCTGTTTCAGAATTTGGGGAAATTTCGATATCTTATGCAGAATTCTCTTGTTTTCTTAAGTACAAGCATTACAGCAAATGGTACAATGTTGAGGTTAATGGGTATTTGAAAATTAGGGTCTCGTGTTCTTGACTTTTGTATAGTGTAAATCATAAATTGAGTTAATTTGACACCGTCTGTCATCAAGCTCAGTACATCCTCTTCTTCAACTGTGCTTTATCTTTATACTCACACCACAAAGGCTCAAATCCCTTTTAATAATCTAATTCACATGCAAATATAAGTAGGCTGCTTCCCTTAGCTTTATGTTTAGTACTAGTAATTTACTCTAATATGGTTAATTCACTTTTAACTTGCGACGTCTAGACCCCCTTCAATGAATATGCCCAACCATGTTAATCAGTTCTGCAACTGCAATTTCAATTTAACAATGTGACGTTTCATTTTCTGAAAATGAATCCCAATTTTTTCTTTCCTGGATTTCAGGAGTATTCTTGTTTAAGTGTTTAACCAGTGCATTTTTCATGTAAACTCCTGATTTTCACTTGTGGAAAATACTATAGTACTCTTCTAGGGCCTTGTTTGATTCCCCTTCTTTTTAAAATACAATTTTCTCTGTTTTCTCTTCAACCACACACTTTTCAATAAAATAATATTACACATAAACTCAAAACTTTTCCATCAAATCACTGTTCCAAAATGCATTTTTTGCAAAAAAATGGGCATCAAACAAGCTCTACAGTTAATATTTTGATTCTTGTTATTCTTATGTATGTCTATTGGTCTTTTGTTATTAGATTTTTGTCTTAGGCTTAGTTGATGCTCAAATTTAATTGCAATGGGACTCCTATTGCTTCACTGACAAATAAAAAAAAAACCGTTTTCTTTTCTATCTTGTTCTTACCAGGCTTGTGCATACACTTAGAGTCTGGACGTGGAGATAAGCTATCATCCGATACAAAAAAATGCATTCTAAACCTTCTTAAGGTGGTAGTAGTTAACTTCTAACTGTTTCTTGTATCTTTTCTTTTAAATAAAAAAGATAACATTGCAGTATTTTGCCTTATATTTCCTATATAATTTGATTTTACTTTTTCAAGTTAAATATGGAGGCTCCTTATGGACCCGAGTGGCCAGCAGAGGAGAAGGTGAAACGGAGGGAAATGGTAGCTTCAGAAGCTCGCTATATATTTGTGCATGAAATTCCAAATGAAGATGCTATCAAAGAGTCTGAGTCAGTGGACAAGGAAAGGAAATTTACTTGTTACCCAATTGTTGGTTTTGTACATTACAGATTCATCCTAGAGGAAGAAATACCTGTTCTTTATGTTTACGAGTTACAACTTGAACCTCACGTTCAAGGAAAGGGGTTAGGGAAATTCTTAATGCAATTAATCGAGTTTATTGCTTGCAAGGTAAAGATTTTATTTTACTGTTCCTTTCAGCAATTGGACTTTTTACCTATGAATTCTGAAATTCATAGTAGAGAAAGTAAATCATTTGAGAAGAAATTTTGCACAGATATTATAGCGACTAAATATCCCAAATGATATCTATATTTTTTATATAATCTTTTACTGATTCTGGGGATGCAGTTCTTGTGCTCACTGCTGTAGTGATGTGGCATATTATTGCTCATTTTGCTCTTTGATGTGCCTTCCCCGACTTTAATTTTGCAGTGAAGGATTAATTTTACATGTTTATAAGCTAACTAGCGGTTTTTTTTTTCTTTACAATTTTTGCAGAATAGAATGGGAGCCGTGGTGCTAACTGTTCAAAAAGCAAATTTGTTAGCTATGGACTTTTACTTGCATAAACTAAAGTGGGTTGCTCTTTATATTTTCTATAAGCAGCTAGATAATTTAGCATTAATCATGTTTAACTGTAATCTTTTGCGGGGTCGATAGTTTTTTGTTTTATTTTCTTAAAAGTAATCCTCAGAGTTGTCTGACTACTTTTGGATTGTGTAGTATCAATTGTTGAAATTTAGGCGGAATTTGTTATTGAACGCTAAGTATTCACTACAATAGACATATCTCTAAACTATATTATTTCATAACTAAACTAGAATAGTATTTCCTAACTATAGAAAATAATCTTTCCAATAAAAGTACAAAAAATATGGAAATAAAACTGAAGTTACAATAAATATATACTATTTTCTTTCAATCACATTCAGACTTTTAACATTGCATCAGTTGAGTTGTTTACAACTTATATGACTTATTGTTTTGCCATTTCATTCCGTTCAGAAATCTCATGTGAGGTTCAGAGAAACCAAATCTTCCGCAAGTGTATGTCAAATTTGGTCTACCTCTCCTTCTCCTAACTTCTTGTATTAAAATTGCATTGCTCTCATGAAAGGGAGCTTTTTAGTGTTTACCCAATAGGGGCTCCAATTGTTGAAAGCTGTAACGCTCAGACTCTCCATTCGTGCCGGAGTACCAGTGTTGACCCCAACACGACACAGGTACGGGTATGGGTATGTGATATGGGACGGACACAGCAAAAATCGACCGGACACAGCAACCTGGAAGGCTAACTGCTGTGGTGCCACCAGAATAAAATGAGTCGTGCGCTTGCCTGCTCCAGGGAACGGAATTGGGATGGACCCTTGCGATGATGGGTGTGGAACTTGAATACAAATCCTACTCCCTTACTCGGATTACACGACTCATTTTGGCGTCTTCGCGTTTGATGGGAAGAAGACGACGAGGAAGTAATGAAATGAGATGATGGAAGAGAGAAATAGGGTTTTAACTTTCAAAAGAGGATTAGGGCTGGGTTAATGAAATGGGCTCAAGATGTGGAGGCCCGATAAGAGAGAAATAGCTTTTAATAGAGGATTTGGGTCAAGTCCCCCTAGGTACTGTTTGGTAAATGAAATGGTCTTAGAGTAGGGGGCTGAGTATTATAAAAGGAGCTCCAATTCAGTGGATGTGCAACTTTTTTCATGGAAGAGTCTCATACTTCCAATGCAACAAAATAGCATCCCAAGTTTTCTTGGAGTTTCCATTGTAATGCGAGTACCATATAATTTTTAGAATATAGCCTCAGTAATTCAGGAAGATGTGTTAACTAGTAAGTCAATTAGTTTTACATGGTGGGTTTGTAAAGAATTTTATAACTCTATGGAATGAATCGTACAAATTATTTTTCATCAAAATCTTCGAAGTTCCTGTACACCCTAAACTGAATCCAGATTATAGATACAAATGAGCAAGTCATATGACTGTCCTTGTCGGACTTTGGTGTATCACAGATTAATATAACATTTCCAGAAATGAAATGGGTGCTACTAACTACGGTTGATTCTGCAATTTTTCATATTCATATACTTGAATTTTACATGGTTTTTTGTTGCAATAAATATCTATGGATGCTCAGCTATTTTAGCATGACCATTGATCTTTTGCAGGTACACTGTATCTGCAATTTCACCATCAAGGGTTGATCCGTTGGTAAGTGCCAATTTTTCTGTTTCTTCCCTAACCCTATTTTCTGCTACATACCTTGGTTTTCTCTTTAAGTTGCTCTTTACTTTATATTTGCGTTCCAAGATAGTTTTTGCCTGATCATTTTTTTTTTATGCAGTTAGGACTAGAGAAGAGCTATGAGATTCTTTGTAAAGCATTTGACCATGAAGCTCAAGTAGTGTTGGAGGTATGGAAAGTACATGCATAATATTCATGGAGATTGCATAATAGCAACCATCCTTAATCTACACAATGATTTTAGCAACTCTACACATTCAAATATGAAGCCAGTGCAATTTGGAGATAACTATATTTTATTTACATGTTATATTATGAGTAGGAAACCTGAAACTAAGAGAAACTAGTCATGCACTGTCAAACACATTATAGTTCTTGGACGTACTTTTTCTCGTCTTTCTGAGTAGAGCTGTGGTGTGGAGTAATTAATTTAAATGCATGCTTCTTGGTTTAATATATTGCTGGCAATCTTTACTAGAAATTATCGTTGTATTTGTTAATATTGTGTGAGCAAAACATGGTAAATTATGGTGACAAATAGAGGACTCATATCGCAGTCTTATTTCTGTGCTTAGATTCCTTGGGGGAAAGTTACCATTTCAAGAAATGCAAAGTATATGTTAAATTTTGCTGGGCCAAGTTCAGTGGGAAAAATAATAAAATGAAAATTGATCTGAATTCTTGATACTATAAGAAAAATTGTGAACGCAGTCATGACTAAACTGACAGAGAAGGGCACCTTAAGGAAGAAAGCTGAAAGTAAAGGAAGATAATTATGCTCTTGAAATTGGCTCCTTTCAGTCTTATGCTAGTGGTTTCATATAGGCTTGCATCATTTTCCACTGCCACTCATCTAATCTAAAAATCTGTCTCGTTCGTGCAACTTGTATTATATGTTATATTAATTTTTAGTATATAATTTATTTTTTGATATTATCCATCATTACAACAAAGCATACTATAATCATCATGTGTGTGTCTGCAATAGATCTTTCATTTTCTAGATAATTGGTGCGGAAGCGTATATGAATTCTTGTAATAAAAACTGTAAGCAAGAACAATATTGGCCTAATCTTGCTTTGTATTAATTTATGATTGATTGTAATGAAAAGTGTACAATGCCTTTATATTTATAGGCAAGATTATTCCCCAATCTTATTAATACAAGAAAACTACATTCTGAAAGGAAATAAACTATTACTAATCTAAACAACGAATAAGAATAAAAGATAAAACCTATTTTAACGAGAAACGAAAACTAGAAAAGATAATTCATAATTGGAGTAGGAAATTACTAATTATGATTAGGGAAAATTGTAGCCGCGGTCCCAAACTTTTCATTTTATTGCAGATTACACCCAAACCTTTAATTTTTGCCACCGAAGTCCCAAACCTTTTATGTAATTGCAGCATTGGTCCCAAACCTTTAATTTTTGCGGCATAAGTTCCAAATCTTTGTATGTAATTACATCTTTGGTCCCAAACATTTGTATGTAATTGTAGCGTCGGTCCCAAATCTTGAATTCCATCCATAAAACCGTTAGTCAACGTTCAAACAATAATTTTGACTCGAAAAATTTGCAGCTCCGGTCCCAAACCTTTTATTTTGTTACAGATTACACCCAAACTTTTCATTTTTGCGGCCGAAGTCCCAAACCTTTATATGTAATTGCAGCGTTGGTCCATTTCACGCACTTTGTCCAGAAAATCGTCAGTCAACGTTGAAACAATATTTTTGACTCAAATGACAACTTAGCCCTTGTTTGACACCCATTTTGTTTGAAAAATAATTTTTGGAATAGTGATTGATGGAAGATTGTGTGGTTAAAAAGTAAGGAGAATTTTTTGGTTTATGTGTAATATTATTTTATTAATAGAATGTGTGGTTGAAATGAAAAAAGAGAAATAGAATGAGAAATATATTGAGAAAAAAATGGGTGTCAAACATGGGCTTAATTGATGAACAAAATTGTCAAACAAGTTATAAAAAAAATGTTTATCTTCTTCAAATCTTTCAGTTTTTTCACAGACATCACATTCTCATCATCGATAACTATTCGATCAGATAACAATTCGATCCGATTTGTTATAATAACCGAATCGATAAATTATTTTTATGACATGTTATTTGGACGGAATGAGTGAAATGGACCAACGCTGCAATTATATATAAAGGTATGGGACTTCGGCTGCAAAGATGAAAGGTTTTGGTGTAATCTGCAACAAAATAAAAGGTTTGGGACCGGAGCTGCAAATTTTTCGAGTCGAAATTACTGTTTGAACGTTGACTAACGGTTTTATGGACGGAATTCAAGATTTGGGACTGACGATGCAATTACATACAAAGGTTTGGGACCGACTCTGCAATTACATACAAAGATTTGGGACTTCGGCTGTAAAAATTAAAGATTGGGGACCGACGCTGTAATTACAGAAAAGGTTTGGGACCGAAGCTGCAATTACATATAAAGGTTTGGGACTTCGGCCTCAAAAATTAAAGGTTTGGGTGTAATCTACAACAAAATGAAAGGTTTGGGACCGCGTCCACAATTTTCCCTTATGATTATGTACTACATCAATCTCCTCCACTAAAATTAAAAAAGATAATTTAAAAAAGACAAACTCCTAGATAAAGTGAAACTATCAATTGTAGTTGTGATGTACTATAGCAATCCCCTCCACTTGAATAAAACTCGTCCTCGAGTTTTGCAGTTGCAAGGAAAACTCGTTCGGAGGAAAGCACTCGAAGATATCGGCAACATTGAAAGTGTTGAAAATGTTCATATTAGCTGGAAGGTCAACTTTGTAAGCATTATCGACAATCTTTTAAAGAATGTGGGAAGGACCTATCTTTTTATCTTTAAGCTTATTGTAAGTGTCAACAGGAAAATAATTTTTTCGGAGATAGATCATCACTAAATCATCTTCGTTGAACAACTTAAAGTATCGATGTTGGTCTGCAGAAGTCTTGTAATGAACATTAGCTTCTTCTAAATTTTGTTTTACCTCATGATGAATTCTTTGAATATGTTCAGCAAACTCTTCTGCATTAGAATTGACGTTAGATAGTCCAGTCAAATCTATCGTATGCCGTGGACTATTAGTGTAAATGACTTCAAAAGGAGTCTTCTTGGTGGATTGATTAGGCATACAGTTAAAAGCTAACTCAATGTGTGGAATGGCATCAACCCTGTTTTGGTTTATATCCACTAACTGCTCAAAAATTATATTGCCATGAGTGCGATTAGCCACTTTTATTTGTCCATCTGTTTGGGGATGACTTGGGCACTCGGGCTACTAAACTTTAAAGAAGTATCGTATATTCTCTATAGTGTTTTCCAAATATGACTTGGAAACTTTACATTTCTATCAGAAGTTATAAACGAATGCCGTGTAGGCAAACGATCTCGCGAAAAATAGATTAGCCATGTAAGAAGCATTTGCAATTTTCTTATAAGGAAGTGAGCCATTTTTGAAAATTGATCAATTATGACCAAAACAGAATCAACTCCCCGTTGAGTTCATGGAAGACTCAGAACAAAATTCATAGAGAGATCTTGCCATATTGTTTCTGTAACAAGCAAAGGGGTATAAAGTCCAGTATTTTGAGTTTGTCCCTTAGCTTTCTGACGTATTGAATAATGTTGAACAAAACAATTAATGTCTCTTTTGAGCTGGGGCCAATAAAATCTCTAACCAAGCTGATCGTCTTATCCCGACTGACATGTCCTAATCCGCTTGCATGAAATTCTCGAATTAAGTACTCATGCAAAGAAGAACAAGGAATGCATAATTGTGTTCCTTTAAACAAGAATCCTTCCTGAAGAAGGTAATCAGGTATAAATTCTCTATTACAGCATCTGGTCCATATATCGCCAAAATTCTCATCAGTTGTATAAAGTTCCTTTAAACAATCGAACCTAACTACTTCAATACTAATTGTTGCTAAAAGAGATGCATGTTGACTTAACGTGTCTGCTATATTATTCTGTTGGCCAGATTTTGTTTTATAACAAAAGTGAATTTCGGCAAAAAAGTGATTCATCTAGCGTGCATTCAATAAATAGCACAAATTCTCGTTGAATCAAGTAGTGTTCCCTATATTTTAAGGCTTGAATAACGGCATAAAATTCTAACTCATAAATAGTCCACTTTTGTCGAGGTACACTAACCTTTTTACTAGAAAAATTCAAATAGGCAACCTTCTGAGATAAAATTGCTCCAATTCCCATAATTGAAGCATTACACCCAGCTTTAAATACTCTCGAAGCTAGGTGGTGCTGACACCGGTGTAGTGCATAACCTGGATTTTATTCCCTTAAAACTATTTTCTTGTGCTTTGTCACACTGAATTTGTCCTTTTTTCATCCGTTAGTAATAGGTGCCATGATTGTACTAAATTCTCGAATAAAACGCCTATAAATGTTGCTAAACCATGAAAACTTTGTACATCTAGCACGGTTTTAGGAGCTAGCCATTAGCGTATTGCTTTTACCTTAGCCTCATCAACTTGGATACCATCTTTTCCAGTATCTTGCAGGACGGAGAGAACTTCTTTAAGATGTGACAAGTGCCTATCTTCATTCTTATTGTAGATAAGAATATCATCAAAATAAACCACCACAAATTTTCCCACAAAAGGACCAAGAACTTGGTTCATTAATCGCATGAATGTGTTTGGTGTGTTCGATAGCCCAAATGGCATCACCGACCACTCGTAGAGACCAACTTTGGCTTTGAAAGCCGTTTTCCATTTAACGCCAAGTCGAATATGGATTTGATGATACGCACTCCGTTAATCAAGCTTGTTGAAGACCATTGCACCTTCTAATCTGTCGAGCATATCATTAAGACGTGGAATAAAAGCGATTCTTGATCGTTATTTAATTAATAGCACTACTATCTATACACATTCGCCAATTGTTATCCTTTTTTGGAGTGAGCTAAGCGGGAATTGCACAAGGACTCGTACTCTCACGGATAAACCTTTTATCAAGTAACTCATTAACAAGTCGTTGCAACTCTTCATGTTCAACTAGGCTCATGTGATAATGTAGCAAGTTAGGCAAATTAGCTCCAGGTACCAAATCAATATGATGTTGAATGTTTCGCATGGGGGACAACTAGTTTCGTAACTCGTTAGGTGTTGTCTCAGCAAAATCAACAAGTACCTTTTGAACTTTGGTGGGAATTTGTATAGTTGCTTCTGATTGACCTTTAACTAGTAATGCTAATCTAATGCGCTGCTCTTTTACTTGTTCAAAGAATTATGCTAGTTATGTTGGTAAAAAGTAGTTTCTCTTCATTGATAGTAGAGTTGTTTTTCTAAGGTTGAGATTGTGGTACCAAAACGATCTTCTTGTCGAACCACCAAAATATGAAAGTATTATCCTGCCCTTTATAAGTGGCATAAACGTCATAGTGCCATCATTGTCCCAATAAGATACGACAAGCATCACTACGTATATGATGTCATCTTTGTAATAATTCCCAATCGACAAAGGAACCTTGCAAATATCTAGATCTTGAACTTTTGGACCCTTTTTAATCCTTGCAATCTTGTATGGAGAAGGGTGTCTATCAGTCTTCAGATTTAGAGCTTTTACCACTGCTTTGGAAACGACGTTCTCACTACTACCGCTGTCAATGATTACGTTGCATACCTTACTACGAATAGTGCACCGAGTCCGGACGCAATCACGTTGCATACCTTACTACGAAATAGTGCATTGAGTCCTGAAGATTGTGTTGTTGAGAGCTATCAGGCTTCTTTGGGGCAAGCAAAAGACGTTGATATCAGCACCTTCATAAACATCATCTTCAAGATTTTGATCTTCGTTTTGCCTTCTTCTACAAGGTTAGCCTAGTTGATTGCGCCGGAAGCACTTCCCGAGATTAGGACGCGTATAAAGGGTTGTTATTAGCTTGTTGCTGTGTCAAGGTTATGATTTAGGTGTTAGACCGAACATGAGTTGAATTTCCATTTTGATGTTATGCCGAACTCTGGGTTGGAGTGATATCCTTATTGTTATTATTGTTGTTGCCTGAGGGCGTTGTACCTTTTGGAACAAAATAAGTTTTTTGAATTGGTTGTCGAAAATTACCTTGAGTACGGGCTGTGGTTCTATTCATCTGATTTTCAACTTTTATTGGCAAATTGATTGCTTCTGTCATGGTCCAAACCTCTCGAAGCGCTATTTGATCTTGAATGACTAACTTTAGGCAATTAATTGAGATTTTGTTTCAGACAAATTAACTCGGGCATTCAATTGATAGATTCCTCAGTGTACCCATTTTCTGTTCGGTTATTCTGTCGACAATTCTGATGTTATGGGGACAAAAATTGCTCATAATCTATAGGGAGAAATTGTCTTTGCAATAACCACTTCATCTTGGGCTAGATTTGCACACGTTGCTTTCTTTGTCTTTGACTATTAAATTGAAGTTGTTCCCACCATGCAAAAGCTCCACCCTTTAATTTGTACCCCACAAGTTAACTTTGCTTTATTCCGAGATATTCAATTAGTCTAAAAAATTTCAAAGGCATGGATCTAATTAAAAAAATCTTCAATGTTTAATCGGTCGTTAAAACTTGGCAAGTTTATCTTCATATTAAATTCTTGAACATTTGGACCTCGATTGTTAGCCTTTGGTTGAAAATTTTCTCCTTTTTCGAATGAATAGTCAAAACCTTGGGGCGCTTTTGCTGAAATCCTCTATCCGTTGGTTGAAAATTAGGACCTACATGAAAATCAGTATCTTTGGGTCGACGGTCAAAATTACCTCGATCAAAATTACTTTGGTCAAAATTACGTTGGTCAAAATTGATTCCTCTCCTAAAATAACAAAAATCCGCTCGCTGGTTTCCAAAATTACACCCACTCTCTCGCGGTCGTCCATCGGCTCTTGCAAACCCTCCGTCTCTGTCGCATGGGATTCCCCTCGAAGCTCACCGTTGTCGCATCGATCAAGGTGCTTTCTGTCCCGCCTTTCATAAACTCGTAAAGGTACGGGTATAGTTTTGTAATAGTCGTGATTTGCAACTAGATTTTTGCTATCCTAGTACAGCGCACCTTGCGCCTCCTCCGTCAGTCCCTGCCTATCCTGTTGTTGGCATCGATTATCAGCAAAGGCCCACGTTGTCTTCCCAAGCCTAGGTCAACATGCGATTAAAGTATAGGGTGTATATCTACATCTGTTGCAACCTTATGATTTCTTGCATCCAGGTCAGTTCCTCCTTCCTCGTTAGAGTTTGCATTGCTGACTATCTATCCATTTTCATGCCTGCTTGGTTGTTGTACCATATATTCACTATTCTTCTCAACAATCAATGCAGTCAGCATCTGTGTGATGTTGAAAAGAATTTCATTCATCCCTTTTAGTCGTTGTTCAATTTTTTCAAACCTCTGTTTGTTGTCGGCGGTTTGCCTGCCACTCGAATTGTCGCCCATCATCAGATTGAGGTAAATTCCTTGCTCATCATCCGTCAGCAGATTGAGGTAAATTCCTTGCTCTGATATTAATTTGATACGGAAGTGTTAGGAATATTGGGCCTAATTCCACCTAATAAAACTGGCTTATTAGGGGAGGATTGCCCTCACCTTATTAAGTGGATCATTTATATTTTTCGAAGTAATGTGGAATTCTAATACGCCCCCTCACGCATAGCGTGGACCATGCCAAACAATTGTGAACAAATCGATATTGGGTGGCATCCAATATTGCATAATTAGGCCTAGCTCTGATACCATGAAACTGGGAAGATAGAGGAATGAAGAGACCACAATAAAGAGTGAATTGATTTTCTTCAATTAGCTTCAGCCGAATACAACCTTTTTATAGGATTAGAATACCTACCAAAACAGAATATATGCTAAATCTACAAACAAGGAAACAATATATATATTTACTATAACTAAACCATTACATATGGTAATAAATAAATCATCAAATCTGCACTAATATTCCATGATCTTCAACAGGAAGCATATATGAATTCTCGTAATAAGAATTGTAAATAAGAACAATATTGGAATAATCTTGTTTTGTATTAATTTATGATCGATTGTAATAAAAAGTGTACAATACTTCTATATTCATCCTATTAATACAAGGAAACTTAATTTTTAAAGAAAATAAACTAATCCTAATCTAAATAGGGAATAAGAATAAAAGATAAAACTTATTATAACTAGAAAAGATAAACACGATAGAAAAGATAAATCACAATTGTAGTAGGAAACTATTAATCATGATTATGTATTACATCAATAATAATTGTGGATCTGGTAGACTATGATTTTCGAGATGAAATGAGAGTTCATAAATGCAATAGCTGGATTTTACTCATTACATATTTGAGCATATGCACAAGGTCTATGGTGACTATAGATATGATATACTGGCTGGATCTTAAATTTTGATCACTTCAACTAAAGAGAAATGAAGGAAAAAAATATTCAACTTAGGGAACATGGATGTCATTTCTCTTCTTCACAGCTATAAAAAGCCCATTACTTAGTATTCCAATAAAAACTATCAGATATAAAGGACCTTGGACTTCGGGTTGTACTCTTGTAATTTATAAGACCAGAAGAGAGTTGATCTTCTAAAATACGTGGTTTGTTTTCAGTTAACATGAACATTTTGCAACTTTTCAATTTGTCTCATTGGAATTCTCCAGGATGCAAATTGCATGTAATTGTGAACTACTAATGTCATGTTTTCTGGATCAATGTCAGATTGAGACTCTGTGATTCTCTTGCACTTGCTTGCTTTAGTTTTCTATCATGTGCACAAAGATCAGGAAATAGCTGGGGCCATGCCTAAGCTACTATATTCGACATTCATTTTCTTTTATTTTCCCCATGATAAAACCATAATAGTCTGTGAATGTTATTTCAATGTGGAAAGAAACTGTACTGTGATATATAAGGCATGAACAAGGTCTGCACCTTGGCTTTTGTTATGTTTTTTTGTTCTCTCTTTCCTTTTCCCTTTTTTTGGAGGGGGAGGGGGAAGGTCGAGTACAGAGATGGATTCCCTTTGTACAGGCTTGTTCCTAACTTCTGCAACCCCCTTTAGGTAATTGACTTGGAAAAGGAATTATAGAGAGGAAGGGACGAGGAAGTAATCTGTATCAAAATCAGGGGAAGACCAAAAGGAAAAAAATTTCTGCTTTGTGCATCTTTGTCGAATAGCAGCCACAGTCTACATCCTGTTGGTGTCATGGGCACTTGGGTCCCCATTCATTTCTTTGCATATGGATCCCAAACTTTTTCACATCAAATAGGTCCTTTTGCGTGTAAACACTAGAGATACTTTTAGCGTACTTGTTTAGTTTCGGTCCCCATTCTTTTCTTTTGTCATTTTTTGTATCAAAAGGTTCTTTACGTATTCCTTTCTTATTCTTTTGGACGGTTCCACTAGGAAAGACCTCTGTGCGACCCAAAGTTGAAGTTTGGGACTAATATGCCCGAAGAATGAATGAGTACTGTGACTAATTTCTATTTTATTTATTACATGGTAAGATCATTTTTTGTTTCAGCTTTTTGGGGGCGTCACTGAAAACATAAATGGTCATAGAATAGGAAGTAGTCATTCATGCATTGTCAAGTGGTTTGACAAGAAGCTGCCTGGCTCTTTCAAGCTCAAAACCTCGACCTCTGCTGTGAAAATTGCTTGAACAGGTCTGTGATCAGACAGTCTTGATCCACCTCTATTATATTGAATTTGCTTCAGTCCCTTGCCAAACCAAATTATTCGATCGCACCTACATAACTTTCTCCTTCGTCAAGTTATTGATGTAATTATCTATACGAATGGAGGAATTATATTCAGCAGAGACTCACCATGCAGGAGCTCGCCTCTTTTTCTCTATAATTTTCTGGTTGCATCCATAGTAATTATCTGAATTTTGATAGTATTTGTATGTGGGTGCAAACTCGATTTCTTCCTCGTGCCAACCCTCGAAGACATGGCCTTTTGCTTGCTCAGCCTTCAGCTTTAATTTCAAATAAAAAATAATTGAGATTATGATATAGTTATATCCTGTTTTGATGTGATACTTTTCGATTAAATATGAAACTGTCCTTTTTTCTGTTTTTTTTGTACCTGATCATTTTGTAATAAGATGCTCCAGTCTTTATTCTGTACTAAGGATCTTGTGGCAGCCTCTGGCAGGTTTATCCTGTAGTTCAAGTCCCCAAGCCAAACCACCCGACTGTATGAAAATCAGAACCCACTGGCTATTGTTAGGACAATATGTTTCAAGATTCCATCACCGTAATAAGAATTTTCCATTCATGAAGTATGACTTGTCATAGAAAATCAAGTTGGAATTTCTGGAGGAAAAAAAATTAAAGTAAATCCCTGAATCCCTACTCAAATTTACTAAACCAAAAAGGTTAGATGCAAAAGTATTAAGCCAGAAATGAAGTTCATTTTTTATCTCTCAAGTTAAATGGAACAGATTTAGTTCACATACTCATGGTCTAGGATGTTTCTTGGCAACTTTTGGAGGGGGCTGCTAGGGAAGTGTGTTTGTGACAGAATTCTTGATGCATCTGCATTTCTCTGTCTCTCATGGCCTTCTTTTCCACCTGAAGCTAAATGACTACACACAAAGCAGAAACTTGTCTGCCACAAGCAAAATCTGACAGAAACTGCACCCTGTTCATCAACTATGCATTATGTTAGTTTCCCTTTTGTATCATCTAGTTAACTCTGGTAAATATATTTTTAGATATAAAAATTGCATTGGTAATGAATATCCACTATGATATTTTTGATCATTATATGGTTCTAATAATCCCTTTTACTGAAGAAAGATATACTTTCTCTCACAAGGACTGATACTCCTGTTACCTTGTTTCCCAGGCATCCTAAGAGACCACAACCTACACTGGAAACACTTGGATAACTGATATACCCACACAGCGCAGTTCGGACCCATATGGTAATATATATTCCAACCATTTGTTTACTTATTATGCATTGGAAATCTGAAGCAATTGAGTTGGTAGAGTTGTGCGTCTTTAGAGGATGCACTCTTGGAGTCTCTCCAATATCTGTGTTCTGAAGTCTGCCTTCTATTGCCATTCTCTTGTTGAGAGCTTCTTTTATGAGAGTATTCCATTTTGTGGAAATCTTTCTATTCTCTGAACCCAAAATATTTCCTGCATTGAGGGGCACAATTTCTTGGAACCTGCAAACAATTTTTTACCTTGTTCTAAACCTAATTTGATTCAACTGGTTCACATTCAAAAATATTGAATGCATGCTGATAAATTTTGCAATTTTATATGCTCATAATGTAGAAATTACCCGAAAATGTATATATCTGCCATGCTATTTTGTGTGCCCAGAAAATCCTCAAGGCTCAAGTTATCTGGTGGTGTGATGCCTCCAATGTTCCATGAGCTCACAAACAATCTTTAGTAGTAGAAAAATGAAAGAAGAATATAGGACATTAGGGTCAACCATGTTTACTAGAACTCTTTAGTACGAAATTTTATGCCAAAGAATAAAGAAAATAAAAACTCTTAATAGATAATGTAAAATAAGTTGTACTATGATTTGGGGGCAGAGAAGAAGAAATTTATTGATAAAGCCCGCACTTGAAATTTTCTTGAATAATGCAAGACTTTCCAGGACTGAAAGATGCTTGATTTGAGTTTTCACTTTCCACAAATGTTTCGGACAAATCTTCAGAGTTCATAGTATATATGTTGTTAACCGCTCTCTTTCTAAGGTTCTTGCCGGCTACCATGCTAGGCCACATGGCCTTGAAATCAGCAGAAAAAAATGTACTTTGCTCGGTTCAGAAACTCAAGGAAACGAGCGTCTATTATATGTGTGACAGAGATCGTGAAATCATCAGGATCAATTTCAATCCACTTCCATGGCAGGGTTTTAATGTTACTTTGTGCTGCTATTTATAGGTGGAAGAACGAAAGATGTTGAAGTTTGGTATTGAAAATGAAAGGATCTGTGAAATAGGACCGAGTAGTATACTAGGGACCTGACCAAGTTTAAGAACTAAAATAGGAAAAAAAAAGAAGATTTAATTTGGCATGTTATTATCTCTAGGGCCTATGGAGAAAGGAAAATGATATATGTACCTGGGTTTACACCTCGGGTTACCCGACCCCACTGCCCCCCTCACAATGAGGTGGGGCCCGAGGCGAATTAAATAATCGGTTGGCCCCCATTGGGGGGGGGGGGGTCGGGTAACCCGGGGTGTAAACCCCCTGGTACTTGTAGCAGAACCCATGGAGAAAACAATAGAACTTGGTTGAAATGATCTCCATTTGGAAACAGGGAATGCCTTTTGAGTTTTTTTATATCATGTGAGTAGAGGAAGATGGAAGAACTAGGCTGCAATTGGATTGGCTTATGATTTTTTAATTTCTATTTTACTATTATGGTCCCCCCCCCACCCCCACCCACACATGTATATACAACCTTTTTATCCATAAAAAATAGGACACAATTGTTAGTGATATGCAATAAAGGTATACACCTTGTCCTCGTCCTTTGTACTTCGGACTTTTTCTACATGTTTGTTTACATCTTAATGCTTCTTAACATCAACTTGCAATATCAAAGGTGAATTACTTCCTATGCTAGTTTCTTTTTCCTTTGGAGGTATGGATGATTTTAAATTTTGTACTCTCTCTTTAATACATTTACCTTTGTTTGTCTTGATCCACAGAGAAGAAACCTGCTTGTGAGGTTGACTTGTGTGCTGAGAAAATATTGGTTCGGAACACAAAAAAGATGCCATTTCCACTTAAAAACTTGATGTTTAATTTGCAAAATGACTTACGATTAAAAGATATTCATGTATCTGATTCTAAATTTGTTGAGAGCAATGTTTAGTGGTTTGACGTTGTTATTGTCAGGATCCCCTACCCTCTCCTCTCTTCACACCCTCACACCCATACAAGATTAATAGACAAATTTTGCCACATGCATATTTATCTTAATCTTAGGGTGGACGATAGTGTTGAACTGAACTACCTGGTTCGATGTGGTTCTACTTAAGTTACCTTTGTTTTGAGGATCTAATATTCATTGTCTTCGATTAATGAAAATTAAAAAGTGTGTAGAAAAGCCTCGATACTTCGATTACAACTTAAATTGATGGAGTAACTTGGAAAGTTGGTTTTTCTACCCAATTAATGCTTAGCTACAAGACTAATCGACATGTCCTAATTGATTAGGTAAGCTAATTTATTTTATAATTGCTTCTTTTCAACTTCAATCTCTTTGTCACTCTCTTAATCGCAGCCTTTCATTGGCCGTCTAATTTAGAGCATTTGATTTATCAGGCGAAAATAATAATAATTAAGATCAAATTGGTCCCTAATGCAATAATTAATTATCACTCAAACTAACTAATCAAAATCAATCGGCTGATTCTATCCAATCAGTATTAAAATCCCAGTGTTTGGAGTGCACTTTTTTATATTTAGTAGTTGTAAAAGGCAAAAAAAGTGATGCATGAATATGAAGCCCCACCCCACCTACCCCATCCCACTCCCAACCAATGGAGAAGGTCTATAAAAGTTTTGAGAAAGAGATACAAATTTAGTTCCTAAAGTTACAACTAAATTTCAAATTGGTCGCTATAGTTTATTTTGTTTCAAATCAGTTACTAAAGTTTCCTAATATTTCCAATTTGGTCAGCATGTTACCGAGATTAATGTTGACTCCCACGGGTAAGCCGTTAGCAACATTGTGTACTAAAGGAACATTTGATTCCATTCTCATGCACGCTTAACTCGTGCTAAAAAAAATAGGACAACATCTGATAAGGTAGCCATTCTTGCTCCTTACGAAATTATATTATCCTTATTTTCCACCTCTTCTTTGTATTTACTAATTTATCTAATTTTTCAATATTATTTCTAAATTTTAAATTTATAAAAAATATATATATAATTCAGAACGAGAAGATGTTCCCCATTCGCATTTCCACTCATTCAGGGGAAAGGTAACATAGGCCAATGTGGTGTCGGGACATTTTTATCATCCCTATAAAAGAATGACCGCGATGAAATTCATTTTACTTCCATTTATTCATGCAATTTAGTATTCAAATTCGATCAAAACAGACTTATAATTAGATTGAGACATGCTTAATAATGAGATTAACTTGAAATTCTGCTGAAACTTTAAGGACCAAATGTATATTTAATCGAAGTTTGAAAATAATGAAAATAACTTATAATTAGATTAGTAAATATCGTTAGTAGGAATAATATAATATTCCTCATGTTATTTTCATTTATGGCATATTATATTATAATTTATGTATGCAAGTCAATATCCTATTGGAATCGAGCCAAAATGGCCACTGTACTGATAAATTTTCAATTCAATGATTGGTATTGCGACGTTGAGATGAAAGACGCATGCAATATTTTTTTTTTCTCTAAAAAAATGTTAGATAAAGACGCATGCATTATTTTTTCTTTAGAATAAATATTATTGTGAATAACGAATTATGTAATTAAAAATTATATTTGGGCAAGTACAAAGACTCTTGGTGAGCTCCTTAGCGCTTGTTTCGTCGACATTAGATGACCTTTCATAGGCATTGAATTCCTAATAAATAAATCGGACTTCTATTGGGAGTTTTATTTGTCGATCAATATGAGAAATCTCACTTTATGATTGAGAAATCGCTTTACCGGCAACCTGCTTCATGAATTGAAGGGTGTATGTTGTCGTTGTGAATGAAGAAGATGACTTGGGAGTTACAAAAGGCGTAACTTTGAATATAGGATCTACAAACAAAAGTCCAAATCATAAGAAATTTTTTTTTGGCCCCATGCTTGTAAATTTATTATTAGAATCAATTCGGAGTACAAAGTATTGATCAAGTTAAGATGGGCCTTATTTCTTTTTTCAAACACGATGCAATGAATGGACTAATATATGAGAAAAATTCATAAATAAGGTGTTTTGTTTACACCAATTCAAAAATCATGTTTATAATTTGAAAATTCAAAAATCAGGATTTTTTTTTATTCTAATATAATATAATATAATAAACGCACCCAGCATGCACCACCCCTACCGCTCCGGGGACTATTCTGGCGACCATTCCGACCACCACTCTTCTCCGGCGACCATTTCGGCGACTATTTCGATTCCGACGACTATTTCGACGATCATTCCGACGATTATTCCGGCAATCATTCTGGTTACAGATTTATAATTTAATTAGTCACATATTATTTTTCAGTCACAAATAATAATTTTTATACGTCATAGATTATTTTATGGTCACAGTTCATAAATTTTATAGGTCACATTTAATTCGTTGGTCACAAATTTCAAAATTAGTTGGTCATAGATCAAAATTTATAGGTCACACGGTCACAAATTTCCAAAGTAATTGGTCACATATTTTTTACGATCACAAATTATATAATTTTTAGGTCACAGATAAAAAAATGGTTAATTTCATTGGTCACATATTTTCAAATTTGTTGGTCACAGATTATTTTTCAGTTACACATTATCAAATTTTTAAGTCATAGTTAAATATTTGGTCACAGATAACCAAATACTTGATCACATACCACTAGCACTATTTCAGCCACCATCACCACACAATACATCGCCACCACCCACAGCCACCAAACAAAGCACCACCACCACCCCAACATAACCGTCTCCACCGTCGATACAACCACTAGCAGAAACCATTACAATCACCAGGACCACGACCACCACCAGAAACGCAATACCAATGCCATCGCCACCAACAACCACCTGCACGACTATCTCATCCAACCACCACTGAACAACCACCAACACCACTACTACACCACAACCGGGACAGACTTCACATCAACCTGGATGCCCACCAC